GGAGGGTCAGAGGGAGAAGCAGACTCCCTGCCGAGCAGGGAGCCCGATGCGGGACTCGATCCCGGGACTGCAGGATCATGACCCGAGCTGAAGGCAGTTGCCCAACCAACTGAGCCACCCAGGCGCCCCCAACATACGTATTATAAGCCCTGGCAGTGGGCCCCAGTCCGATACTGAGTGCCACTTGTATACCTTGTGCCTAGCAGTGCTGAAGCAGCAGAATGGGTGTTGGTGAACTCTATCCCCATAGAGCCCTATCCAATTGGAAGAATAAGACTCGACTCCTTCCACGGCACCTGGAGGAGCCTATAGGACAACATTCATTTAGGTCAGGAGTGCAGTGGAGCCCCACACAGGAGGAGGGCTCCGTCCTGGAGAGTCTAGGAAGCTTCCTCTGTGGAAATGGGCCGGGAATGGGTATGCCCTGGGATCCCTGAAATGAAGGGAGGGAATGACGAGTAGGGAGGGTTGAGGGTGTGATGAACTAATGAATGCTGAGATCTGTGGATCTGGCCCCTGAAGAATAATATCCAAGCCTTCCACTGGTCAGCATGCTCCATTAAGCACCAGCTAGGTGCAGATATAAAGTAGTTTTTGTGTATGGGTGGTGGGGAGGGAAGCGAATGTAGAAAACTTCAGAAAACCAGCCCTTGTCCTCTAGGGAGAAGGACCATTCCTCCAGGAGTGCAAGTCGAGTGCGAGCCCTTGTCTGGGACTGCCCCGAATGGAGTACACCCCTGCGCCCACAGGATTAATCTTCAGTCCCATTGCTGCCTGTGTCATCTGGTGACCGAAGCCAGGATCACAGCGGAGGGGAGAGAAAGGTGAAAGACGCACGTTGAGGCCAGGGCAGTTAGCACTCTCTCTGGTAGTCCTGACTCCCCCTGACCTCATAACAGATGTGAATTATTCACATCTCCCCTTGGAGCGGGTGGCCCAGAAGTGACAACAGTTTGGCCTGAAATTCTCAAAGACCTGGACTGAGGCCAAGGCCCTGCCACCTCCTCAGGAACTCTGGGCCGTGAAGGGGCAGCGGACTCCTGGGTAGTGGAGGAGCCTGTGATAAGCAAGGACTTCAAGTGCTTGAGGCCATGTTGTTGACCCACCACCCATGTTCATCCTCGGCTGAGCCAACATGGCTCCCTCCCACTTCACATTCTTCAATGACTCTATTGTTTATTGGTCTAGAGCAATTAGATCAGAATCTACCGAGGACAGTATTGGGCATCTATATTTTTAGATGCTTCCTAGGTGATGTTAAGGCCCAGGTAATATAGAGAAATACCGAGTGCCCTGGTGGTTCCTTTCACCTACACTGACCTTTATGGCTATGGGACTAGGGGTAGGGTGCTCCTCTGAGGACAGCCTCGATCAAACCCCTTCTCCTCTACATTCTCTTCCCTTTTCTCTTTGTATGGTGGCCCAGCTGGCCTTGGGCTGGACCCAGGAAAGAGATCAATTTGCTCAGGTGAGCAAGGTAAACAGTCGCCACTTTGGTGGCCTTAAGGAGTGGCAGCTTACGTCCGTGACTTTGACCTTTGGGAAATATCAAGAACTCTGGCCTGACATCCTCCTGTCCAGTCAGGTAAAAATCAAGATGGAAGGGGAGAACAAATAGTCCTTGGCACAATCTCTGGCCCAGGAATTCCTGGAGAAAATTATGTTTAAGACAACATTAGCCGACATCCTTGTTCTCATTAAGGACACAGTTCAACTGGTTGTGACGAAAGATGTAGGTCATCAGACCCTCATTATCAGGATTTAAGAGAAAATTCTTTTTTTTTTTTTTTTTAAGATTTTATTTATTTATTTGAGACAGAGAGAATGAGAGAGAGAGAGCACATGAGAGGGG